GTCCCTCCAGAAGTTCCCTGACTAGGTCCTCACTGACCCTAGGCCTGGGTGCGATGTGATGAATGACTACTAGTAGTGGGCAGCATAGACAATAGAGGTGTGCGAAGCGGGCTGTATTCGATTTGGATTTGGATTCGGCCCAATTCAGGGGACAGTGATTTGATTTATTGATTTGGATCACTGTCCTGAACTGATTTGGCTGAATTGGAATCTGAAGATTCGATGCTGGTTCAGAGAATCAGCAACTTGACCATAGGCACAGCTTTAAATGTTTTTTATTCATATCTCAAGGTACCAGGCATGGCTCCCGAAAACTGGAAAGGGGGGGGGGGAGGGGGCGAGCCCCAGGAGTGCGGGGGGGTCCCTTGCATGCTAAGTGGCGGACCCCCTCTCCTCCCCCCAGCTCAGTGATCAGCCATGGGGGGACCCCGGGTACTCCCCCAGACCCAGGAGGCACCAGTAGCCGGGGGGGGGGGGGGGGGGGGGACCCCAGGAGTGCGGGGGGGTCCCTTGCATGCTAAGTGGCGGACCCCCTCTCCTCCCCCCAGCTCAGTGATCAGCCATGGGGGGACCCCGGGTACTCCCCCAGACCCAGGAGGCACCAGTAGCCGGGGGGGGGGGGGGGGGGGGGGGGGCCCTGAATGGAGATGCAGCCATGGAGTCACTCATCCTCCGCCAGTACAGCCAACCTGGGGTGGGGGGCAGGGGGATCCATCTAGAGCACTGCCACCTCCGATTTGATATGGATTGAGAGATTTGGCCACCGAATTGGGCCAACTCTCTGCCAAATCAAATCAGTGACTGAAGCTTCGTGCAGCCCTAATGGACAAAGCATTAGCAAAATTTAGTTTGCATTCCTAACTCATTGAGCAATGAGCAAGACTGAAAAGCAAACAAAAGTTCAATTGTCTACAGAGAGGTAAAGATTTCAAACCCATTTGTGGATAATTCATAAGAAAGTGCAAGATTAGTGCAATAAATTGCGGATGAAATGTTCACTTAATTCTAAGTAAATATTGCAATGCAGTGGAAACCAGTCTTGCCCCCACTAACTGCATGATGGCAGGAACCAGAGGACAACAGTTCAGTTCCCATCATCTCTGAGGCCCATGCCATTTGTTCAGTATTCTAGACTAATTATGCAGAGGGAATAGGCCATTTCAGTTCCATTACAATACAGTGAAACTGTTCATTGGCAATGCATAGGGGGTGCACGTGGCTGCATGTGCACCCCCTAAGCTTAGTGGTACACCCCCTGTGAAAAGGCACCGCTGACACTGCCTGTGGGCAGTCATCCCACCCCCAATGCAGACACTGACCTCAAAAATCTATGAATCTGTAAATCTATATGAATACATGAAAATTGTGTGTTTAAAAGTTTAATCCTAGTGATCAGGATGTTGATGTTTTTACCTCATTTCAAAAGCGACAGATGTAGCAACTAGCTGGGTATAAAAAGAAGATACCAGTGCTAGTAACTTAGGACTGAAAGGCTCATCAAATCCAGGCCCCTGCAATCGCAGGCTGTTCATCAAGCTCCATCTTAAAATTAATTCACTTGTTTGCCTCTACAGCTACTGTTCCTCTTGGAGGGCTCTTCCAACACTTCACTTTTCCAATTATCTCTCATTCTAGATGATCAATTGAACTCAGAAGAGAAGAAGAAAAGAAAGCAGAGGAGAAACAGGACCACCTTCAATAGCAGCCAACTTCAGGCATTAGAAAGAGTCTTTGAGAGGACACACTACCCTGATGCCTTTGTACGAGAAGACCTTGCACGCAGAGTCAACCTCACTGAAGCCAGAGTTCAGGTAATTAACACCAGCAGCCAAACTCAGCTTTCACTCAAACTCCTCTCACCCAGGTACTGTCATCATCCATGGCTGTAGAATTCAGGCAGGTGGCATTTGGGTCAGCAAGGTGCAAGAATGCAGGAACTGAATGAACTACTAGAGTAGAAGTTTTCCTATCATTAAGGCTCTCAAATACACAGATGACACAGAAATCTTGAAAAGTCCCATTATATTTAATAGGGTCAAAGTAGGGGAGTTATATTGAAATCATGTAGGATAATGATGATACTACAGTAGACCTCAGAGACCCCAGATCAAGATTGAGTCCACAAAGAGACTTGCATCATACACTTTTATACACATACAAGGGACAGAATTGTCAGACATGCCTGAGATGCTGAAGTTCCTTTTACACAAGAGACTTGGTTTATGTCTGCTCTGTAGTCATTGCTTTGTTGGTGGCTTGTACAGGCAAACCTGAGTTAGCTAGCTTAAATATAGTTAGCTCAGGCACCATTACTAGTATAATCACAGCAGGATGGAGTTCAGAGTGGACTGCAAGACCCAAACAAGACTGCTCAATAAATACTCCAATGAGCTCCATGCTACCACAGCACCCCTGCAGCCAGTAGCAAAGGACCTGCCACACAGTAATTTTAGGTGGCTTCTGAAGCTCTTAACCCTTGGATTTGCTGCACATTAACCTTTTAAGTGTCTTAAAGCACTCATGATTCAGTTTAAAGTTATGCCACTCCTGGACAGGATTATTTCTAATCTGCATAACCTTACTCCTGTTCCATTAAGGTACAGACAATCTCCACAGCTGTTACACCCAAGTTGTAGTCCTCCATCATCCCAGGATGCAGTGTTCCCTCCTGAGTTAGGGCAGGGATGCCAGGGTCCAGTGGGCCTGGGCAAGGTGCCTCTGTCCCACTGCTCCCAACAGGAAAGCCAATGCTACAGCCCTGGAGTATTTGGTGACTACAATGCCTCCTGGACTGTCTCACTGCACCAAATGCCCAATCACACTCGGACCACAGTGTCTGTGTGGGGCAGCAGGCTGGTGCTCACCCCTCTTACTGACCCATGGTTGAAACTGTGCCCAGCCCCACAGTCTGCTGCAGTGCATCCCCTGACCAGTGTCTGTGCCCCCAGGACTGGATACATGCCTTGGTGAGGCCAAATGTCTGGAGCAGTGTGGAGCTTGGCAGTTGCAACGTGGCCCCAAGGCCAGTTCCTGCTGCCCTCCTACTCATCCAGGCTCTGCAGGGTCTGGCCTCTGGCTCCCCGCATCTAGCTTGCCTAGCAGCAGCTGTGATGGGCAGATGCCTGAGGCCCCTGAACCCCCTGGGGGCAGGTACAGGGATGGGACTTCCCAGGCTTGGGAGGCAGCTGTGAGTAACACAGCCTTCCTGCCTGCCCTATGCAGCCTCAGCCTGGACGGGCAGTGCTGAGCCCCACGCTCCATGCCTGGTGCTGCCTGGCTGCTACAGGGGGTTCAGGGACTTCAAATGCCTGCCAATCACAGCTGCTGCTGGGCGAGCCAGGTGGAGGGAGCTGGTGGCTGGACCCTGCACAGCCTGGCAGAGCACAGGGTCAGTGGGAACCAGCCTAGGACTGCCAAACTGCAGCCGCTGAGCTCTACCATTCTCCAGCCACTTGACACATGCCTGGGTCCTGGGGGCCCAATCCTTTTTCTTTTCCAGAGCTTTCCCCCCATGCCACCATCAGCTGGACTGCTGGCCAGCTGGCTGCACCTGAGTTCTGAGGGGCCCAATCTTTTCTGGAGCTCAGGAAGTGCCCAGCTGGGTGGCAACCCAGGCAGGGGCAGTGCAGCAGAGCAGGCTCTGGAGAAATAAAGGAACAGGCCATTTGGAGCTCAAGCAGTGAGCTGGTCTGGGCAGCAGTGGGAGGCACTGTGGCCACCAGGCACTCTGGGGCTGTGGCACTTGCTCCATCTGGCAGAAGCAATGAGCTGGTCCTTCCCCTAGCTTCTAGTCCTGCTCCTTCTCCCTAAGCCTCTAGTGATAAGTCACAGCTGTGCAGGTGCAAGACAGCCAGAGATGGTTTTTCACCTTATGGTGTGACTGCTCCACTAAAACAAACAACAGTTAGCCTAATAACATTTGTTCAGCTCACAGCCTAAGGTGTGACAAGGCCCCAAGTTTGCTAGTTTAAAGGCAGACCTTGTCCACAATTCCTGCCTCTGCCACCAGAAGTTTGTGCAGCAGAGAGCAGCTGCTGCTGCTCAGCTATCAGAATATATATGTACTCATGAGCTTTTGGCAGCTGTACTACAGCAGATGTTTGAAGGGTGTGTAGTACATCCAGGGAAGTCACCAGCTGCTGAAGGGACCATGACAGCCAACAGAAGAGGCTGCAGAGTCCACACACACCATTGGATGACTGCTGGATGGCAGCAGAAGCTCTACTTTGTT